GCATTAATACTTCAAATGGTGGACGAAAAACAAAAAACCGAGGTAATTAATTATTTTTTATTTAATTAAAGTATTGAAATGTTTAATTAGCCGTTATTTATTAAGTACCTAAACGTTTTATATTCTCGTTTTTTATCATTACGTATGTACAGAATGGTTGTAAACTAAGATTTTGTTTGCAGAATACTAATGAGGCTTGTGATATCGACAAGGAAAATGTACCATCTAGTCCTTCTATTATAGAAAATTCACCACCACCAGACCAGGGCATTCAAATAGCATTACGCGAAAACAAGATATTGAAACCGATAGGTGTAAGTGTTTCATTATTTTTATTAGCGGTGTGAAACCTCATACCTATTTAATTAGATTTTGTAATCTTTATCTTTTTTCCAGGATGTTCAGAATCCTCAGCAAGAGATAAATGATGCATCAGAAACTATCGATAAGACGTCAAGTAAAGTGTTTGCCGTCCGGCCACGTTCAAGAATTTCAAGTAGTAGCAGTTCATCCTCATCTTCATCTTCATCCTCGAGTAGATCTTCATCCTCCAGTAGCAGATCTTCATCCTCCAGTAGCACGGACAAATCTGAGACTGTAGCAATTCCTGGCCCAAGTACTAATTTAAGGCCTCAAGCAGGTATTCCACGTTCGTACACTCAATCGCCAGTTAATCCACAAGAAAGTGATGTGGATCTAAGCGACTCAGATCCAACATACCATACTGAACAATCCAACAATCCAAGGAGTAGACGTATTTCCAGCTCTTCATCTGCCAATTCATTGGTCCAACCAGAACCCTCAAAGAGTAGAAAACGAAAAAGGAACCCTGTTAATTGGAAGCAAAACCAATCTAAAAAGTCAAGAAACTCTGGAGAGAGTTATAGGTCTATGGCAAAATCTAAAAAAGTCATTCCAGCTAGACAAATCAAAGAAACTTGTACAAGTAAGTGTAGGCTTAAGTGTTTCAATAATATAAATGAGACTGAGAGATCTGAATTATTTAAGAATTATTGGGCTTTGTCCAATTTGGAATTACAACGTTCATATATTAGGGCATCCATGATGGAAGTACAACCTAGATATAGATATTCTAATGCTCAAAATCCTCGCCTGCCAAACAATGCGTTTTATTTCACTGTAAATGGTAATAGAATTCGTGTTTGTAAACAATTTTTTATAAATA